AAATGAACAAATCAGGAGACTCTAGATGCTGGCGAGGATGTGGAGAAACGGGCACCCTCCTACACTGTTGGTGGAATGTAAACTGGTGCAGCCCCTCTGGAAAACAGTGTGGAGGTTCCTCAAAAAATTAACACTAGAACTCCCCTATGACCCAGCAATAGCACTGCTAGGAATTTGCCCAAGGAATACAGGAGTGCTGATGCATAAGGGTACATGGACCCCAATGTCCATAACAGCACTTTCAACAATAGCCAAAACATGGAAAGAGCCTCAATGTCCATCAAAGGACGAATGGATCAAGAAGATGTGGTTTATCTATACAATGGAATACTACATGACAATGAGAAAGAATGAAATCTGGCCATGTGTAGTGACATGGATGGAACTCGAGAGTGTTATGCTGAGTGAAATAAGTCAGGCAGAGAAGGACAGATACCATATATTTTCACTTATAAGTGGATCAGGAGAAACTTAACAGAGGACCGTGGGGGAAGAGAAGGAGAAAAGTAACTGGGGAGAGGGAGAGAGGCAAACCATGAGAGACTCTTGAATGCTGAGAACAAACTGAGGGCTGATGGGTGTGGGGGAGAGGGGAACGGGGGTGATGGGCATGGAGGAGGGCACTTGTTGGGATGAGCACTGGGTGTTATATGGAAACCAACTTGACAATAAACTATGAAAGAAAAAAAGGAAGTGATATGTTTACATGGAATCACCACTTATCATCACCACTACAAACTCCTACTTTATGCACATTGCCCCCCGCCCCGACTGCAGTTGTTTATTAGTAATAACAAATTATTGTAGTAGATCTCATAAAAGATGGAAACAGCCCAGTGAGTCACATACCAGCACTGTGTTCTGCAGTTTTAAATATCCTTATGCCTTCGCGCTCCATTCTGGGACCTTTCTTCTATAGATTCTCTCTCAACTTGTGCTGTTCTTAATTTGCTACTTGATGTCATTCTAAGTAAAGACAGATTAAAATGCTAAATTATGAGCATGAATTTTACCATTCATCTTTATACTATGCAATGCTAGTTTTAAATGCAAATATAAGAGCACTTAACTGCTGTGCAGAACATCTGAAAATGACAGAGTTTACATTTCACTGCTCACGTATGCCTATGTATTTCATTCTTTACCAGAGCATTGTAAATGCCACACAAACACAAATGCAACTCAACTGTGTTTATTTTGCTTCCTGATATACACACATTTTATCCACACTGTCTACCCTCAGTTTACTGGTAGGAAGGGCAGCCCCAAACAAAAGGAGCTGCAGGGTGTCCTAGCTTTCCTCTTCGTCTCTGCCATTTTTAGCATAAGTGTTTGACTATTACATGAGTATTGTGAGTAAGAAAAGACAAGACAGAGGTCTTTGGTTGGTCCTGCCTTCTTTCTGCATTCAAAATAATTTTGGTTTGAACAGAAAAGGTACCTCTCTGGGTTGTCTGCTCCCTGGTTTCTCAGTCACAGACACCATACATTTACCTTCTCACTGCGGCCGCTGGATCCCCGCACATTATAAGTGCCCTGAGTTTCTGGGCTCAGTGGGCATGCTGAGCACTATATGTATATGGGGCGGCCAGAACAATGGGTCTTCATCTCCTCTGCTCCCAGACATTCTGCATTGTTGCATCACACTTCGTGTACAAAACACAAATTCAAAGATAAAATTATTAGGAAATTCAAGATGATAACAACAGAGGTTTAAACAAAGCTCAGGGTCCTCTTAAGCATGGAGCACTGTGTGGCTCTCAGGTCACATGCCCATGAAGCTGGCCCTGCCCCACTGCCTCTGCTCCTGTCACACCGGCCCTCCAGGCCTGGTGGCTTCGCAATGTCCCTTCCCATTGAAGCGCCCTAGGTTATTTACCCCTCTGTCTGAAACTCAGTTTCCTCCCTCCTGGCCTGGTCATGTCCCTCCTCCTCTTCCTCAGATCTCAGCTCAGCTGTCACATCCTTACGTAGCTCTCCCTGCCCTGCTGACATGTCAGAACTTTCTTAGCACCATGGAGCTCTCCTTCAATCACCCATCACGGTCACTATTCTTCATTTAGGGATGTGATTATTGGATTACTTATTGTCCCTCCACTGAACTGCAAGCAGCATATGTACCAGGACTGGGTGTGGTTTAGCTCAAACATGTTTCACCATGGCTGGGCACGTAGTCCCTAATCAATACCTATAAGGTGAATGAATGGGTGAAGAAAATGAATGAATGTTTTTGCAACAGGAGCACAAGTGTCAGAGCAAGAGGTGGGATGAGGGCAGCATGAATTCTAGCTTTTCTTCAAAAGAAGCTAAATCCTGTCTCAGACCAAGCTGGTGAGACTACCTGAGCATCATATGGCCCACTTCCTTGCTGTCTCCTCAGGTAATGAGTGTGTGAGGATAGGCTATCCTTGTGTTTTAAGGGACCCAAGTACTTTCTGTTGTGTCTCTGGCACCATGGCAAGTGCTCTCAGAAATTTCTGGTCCATTGAATTGAACTGAGCTGGACTTAGATGAAATGTGTGGCCCTGAAGCTTCCTATGTCTCTCCTTCCTGTGTCTCCATTTCTTCTGTCCTCTCCTTCCCTCTTGTTAACGATTTCTGAGTTTTGAGAACCATTTTAGTTGTGATCAGATGCTTCCAACAGAAAATGACCCTCATTTATTTTCAGTTTAACTCCACTCTTTAAAGAAAAATGTTCTGATCAGTCCTACAATCATGTGGTGATTGGGCACTCCAGAGACTGCCCCAGAGCCAGGTTGGGCACATTTGCTGGTAATATTCCCACACTGGCATTGATCTTGGGATAGAATCACAAGGCAGGCACTTCCGAATTTCATCCATTCAAACTCATTTTCAACTCAACTCAAAGCAGAAATTAAACATGAGAATCAGATGAAACGTGCCCTTCTGCCCTGAGGGCTGCAGATCTAACCCTATCTGAGAGGCAGTACAGTGCCACCGCCCATCCTGAACAACAATGACAGAATGGGAATCCGCCTTCTTGGTGGGGCCCATTCTGTAACTTGTCTGTCTTGTCCATGATTCCACACCTACGTCTGAGAAATGGCCAGGAGGGGGTGTAGTGAAAATGGAGTGCTCATAATGAAATTGAGGATCGATGAAATAATAAAAAAGAAAAGCCTACAGGTAAGATTGGTATTGATTGACCATTTCAGAAAACATTGTTAGTAAGAGATCAGGGCATGCTTCCTGTATGTAAAATGGGGGATTTCTCTCCAGACTGAGACTTCACTGGGAATATAGAATGCTACTGGAAGCAATCCCCAGTGCAATGTCCTTGAAATTATGGGGCTACTTACAGACGGTGCAGTGGAGTAGAACTGGGTCGGCTCAGGAGTCAGCCATCCCTGGGGCTTACACCATCTCCAGCTCTGTGACCAGGAGCAAGTAATAACCTCTCTGATTCTGATTCTCTCCTTCCTTCTCCTCCTCCCACTCCTCCTTGTTCCTGATTTTACATGTTGGCAGAAAGCACCTGCCTCCAGTTTGCTGTGAAGATTGAATAAGTTCATCTGGGTACAGATATGGAGTTGGCACTATGCACAGAGCAGGCGTGCGATCATGTGACCCCTTCTCCCCACAGTGTCAGGAGACTGTTCCTCTCTAGAACAGCTGGCCAGGGCCTGCACTAGTGGCAAGAAGACACCTGACTGCCCTCAGATTGAGGACCCCCTTAAATTGTGCACACTAGGCACCTCATCCTGGTCTCAGCAGCGCTGCTGGGACAATGTTGGACCAGGGTTGGGGCATCTCAGAGTAGATGCTCTCCTCCAGCACCATCATCCCCTGGGCCATTTTCTAGGTGACACAACTGAAACCCAAAGTCATCATGACTTGATTACAGCAACGAGTAAAAGTGGCAAACCTCGAATGTGACTCCAAGCTTCTAGGTTCCAAGGCTATGTTTTCCCCCCAGCAGCCTAGAGATGAACTCTTTGCTGCCTGTGTCACGTGACGTTCACCACCCCCTCCCTGGCAACCTGAGTGGTCTTTCTGGACATCTACAAGCTATCTTCCTGACAACTCAGGAAGAGAATGTATCTCACGTTTTCAGTATTTCCCAAGACATGTACTACACGACTTACTTGCAGTCGGGGTTCAAGAAATAAATATCCATCAACTGAGAAAAAGGAGATGTTTTCACGGCCTTATAATTTTAATGCAGAGAAATAGTTATAATACACATTAACCCAGCTGAGGGAGAGAAATGCATTAATTTCACAATGTGTTCAGCTCTTTAAGAAGTTAGCTTTTCAGGCTCCACAGGGCTTCTGGAACTCAGACTCACGCCCACTGTTTTGAGAGAAAATTGCACCTGATTGGTGTCCCTCGCCCCCCAGGGAAGTGGTGGGTGGAGAGACTTAACTGAGGGTGGAGGGGTGGGAAGCTGGCTGCAGCAATGTGGGGTGTTGAAGCCAGGAGGAAAGGACAGAGCAGTGCTGCTCACATTTAGGGAGCAAACAACTACCTCACCAGGGAACCTGGTTAAAAAATGTATATATATGTAATCCGATTCAGGAGGTCCAGATCGGACCTGGGAGCCTACATTTTTAACAAGTTCCCCGGCAGTGCTCACGCTGGTGGTTCAAGGGACAAAAGATTGTGCAGACTTTTTCTCCTTCCTCTACAACCATTTATCTTTAGGCTGTGGTCAAAATCTTTGTTCCCACTCTGGGCAAGGGCAAGAGGAAGGCAGCAAACTAGGATAGTCATCAGCCGCCCTGCACCATGACTCCCCTCCTTTCCACCGGATACACTTGATGGGTGACATTTCCATGTGTGAAACACTTCAGTTTTACCATCCATGAAATGAGCATGTTGATCTGGGTCTCTGGAGGGCTCTTTTTCCAGTATGAGAATTCTGTGTGTGGAGGAAATGGCCTGGAGGTTTTGGGTTTGCAAATCTGGCCCAGGAGAAACTCTGTCCTCAATCTGGCAATTCTCAGGATCCCCATTCACTGTCTTCCATCCTTCTGCAGGGGAAATTTGCGCGTTCAAGATCCACGGTCAGGAGCTGCCCTTTGAGGCCGTGGTGCTCAACAAGACATCAGGTGAGGGCCGGCTGCGCGCCAAGAGCCCCATCGACTGCGAGCTGCAGAAAGAGTACACGTTCATCATCCAGGCCTACGACTGTGGCACGGGGCCCCGAGAGACGGCCTGGAAGAAGTCGCACAAGTGAGTGGCTGGACAGAGCTCCCTGCACCCCTCCCACCCACCCGCCCACCCTTTGGGATCACGGCTGCTCTGCGTTCAGATGTCAGGACTGCATGCAGGTGTCACTTTTTCCGAAAAGCCCTCCCTGAGCCAGCCATTCCAGCAGAGCTGGTTGGGACCTTTCTCTGGGTTTCTCCCATGCCACATGCATATCTCTGTCCTGGCACTTTATAGTTCAGATTGTAACTCTCTCCCATGTTTTGATTCTGAGCCTAACACAGAGCCGGAGTGGTTAAATTCTTACTGAAAGGAAGAGTGAATGAACAGAGGAGGAGTGAAGAAAGGAAAGGGGAGGCGATCCAGAAGGAATCGTTGCCAAAAGCTGAGTAACAGGGAAGGCCAGAGAAGGCGCAGCTTCATCTCTGAAGCAGGGTGGGGACAGGTAGAAGCATCTCTAGTGGGAGGACAGACAGACAACCATTCTGACTGGCCGTGGTTTCTCTGCCCCCTTAGCCCTGGGACTGGAGTCGGTTCCCACGGGAGGTGTGGGAGGACAGCATCATTCTCCCTTCACTGCCATCTCTTCCTTCTGGTGTGTGGTCCCAGGGCCGTGGTCCATATCCAGGTGAAGGACGTCAATGAGTTTGCTCCCACCTTCAAAGAGCCAGCCTACAAGGCGGTGGTGACAGAGGGCAAGATCTATGACAGCATCCTGCAGGTGGAGGCCATGGACGAAGACTGCTCCCCTCAGTACAGCCAGATTTGCAACTATGAAATCGTCACAACTGACGTGCCTTTTGCCATTGATAGAAATGGTGAGTGTCGTGACTAGGCTCCATTGGGGGGAGGCACAGGGAAACAAGTCCACCATCCCCTCTCTGACGGCCAAGCGAGGGCTCTGAACATCCATGGCAGGCGATGACTCTCATGCCATCCATGACCTAGGCTCTGTAACCCAGAACTCAGTCCTGCACTAGAGCGGATGTCCATATATTATTAGCACAGCCAGGTCGAAGATAACCCCCCAGACACCTCGGAAACTTACTCAGTGAGTACAGTCCATAGAACTCCTAATGCCACACATCTGGATACTGAAGACGGGATGATTTTCTGATAGAATTTTCCATGCCGTCAACTCTGTCATATCTGATCCCTTTCCATATCATAAGTTGTGGTACTGCCTTCCACCCCAACTGTGTTCTTCCAACTCTCAGAAAAAAAGGGAAAAAATGCTAAAAGAGAGGGTGAAGATTTTTGGAAATAACTTCTAAGCTTAGGTTAGTTTGGGAATCTTTGATATTCTTGCCAATGTCCTTTGAGAATTTCTACCACAGTGAGAATGATGAATGAATGAAACTTCCCACCATACCCCAATCCCAAGCTGAACTTACTGAACTGAAAACAGTTCTATAAAGCCATTTGTGCATTTCCCCATCACCATTAATAAAACACTTGTAGTGTTAATGCCTCAGCCAGATGCCCAATCAACTCAGCCCATGTTAAATACAATTTTCAATAACTCCATGTTAATCAAATGATAATTTTTTGTCAAGTATATTATTTAATAGCATGAGTGTGTACCCATGGGTATATTCTCCCCACTTGTTTCAAATAGGGTCATAGAGTGCTGCACAAAGATGCAAAAGTTACAAAACCTGAAGTTCATTTACTCTGTAAATTATTTACTGAGTGCCAGGCATGGTGCTGGGAACTGGGAAAGGAGTGAGAGTGGAACTCAAAACAGATGTGGGACTGCCCACATGGAGCTTACCATCCAGTAGAAAGAAAGTCAGAATAAAATATAGAAAGTTAGGTGGCATTGAGGCAGTGGATTAACTCTGAGCCTCTTGGTAGTGTCTAGAGGGAAGTACCATCAGTGACCTGCTTACCAGTATTCAGTGCTTCCTATGCTCCTTGACATTGAGACTGGGGAGAAACTTATCCTGGGACACAGTCTTCTCCATCCTGAGAACTGCAGCAGGTTCCATAGGGAATGCAAGCCAAGGAGACACCCTCATCCCTGATCTCCAGTGGTTTATGATCTGCTTTGAAAGATGAAATCACCCTTCATGTAACAGACAAAAATAAGGCAGTTTCCTTACAAAATGATAAGACACATGGGAATGACAAACCAACACATGGCTAGATGCTCACTGTGTGGAACACAAGATCAGTGCATTAGTGCACAAGAAAGTAAAGGAGAAAATATTGGACTTTAGTTAAAGATTGGTTCAGGACTAAGAAGTAGGTGATTTCAATTAGTAGAGCCTGTCAGAACTGCTTCCAGATAGCTTTTCCTACAAGCCCTGTGAGGTGACTGTCTTGTCTCTACCACACAAGTGTATATCTCACACATATCAAATACACATGCACGCATACACACCGCTCTATAAAATATAAAACAATTAGTCTGTATTTTTCTCTTCCTCTATGATCAGCTCTGTGGTCTCTGTTCACAAAAGCTTTGGAATTTGGGGAGCGATGAGTCCTTGGTGAAGAGCAAGACTAGACAAGTGGAGGTATCTGTGATGGGTGGTCAGGCTCCACTTGACCTCCTGCCTTAGTTCTGGAGAACCACAGCCCAATGAGAGATGAAATGCAAATCCTTTCATCTGAGGGTAAACTGCCCCAGTCATGAAGATAATTACTCACCTTGATGAGCCATTTCACTAACATATGCCAATTTATTTCCCTAGCTGTCTCATTAAAAGTGAGTAATGGTCTTTTGCCAAGCCTCTGCCTCCAACATTGGTTTACAACAGAAGATGAAGAGGAGAGTGGGCACTCCCAGGGAGTGTGGGCCCCTGACAGCGAGGTTTACAAAAGCGGTTCTCCAAGTAATGAAGGCAAGACCCAGGGGCAGACACAGAAGCGGCAGTTCCCCATTCTAATGAGTTTCCCAATTGGCCCCTATCCATCATTTCTCCCAGCAACCTTCCCGGCTCCTTGAAGAAGTTCTTTGTATGTACATCAGAGAAAGTACTGCTGAGTTTGGGGTCCACTCATTGAAACCCCATGACTGCAGGTAGATGGGTCCTGGCACCTCCAACTTACCAAGCTCTTTGTTTGTTGGGGAAAAAGGGGGCATGGGGCAGCAGGGAAGATAGAAAACATTCCATGGATTCAGCCTGGCCTGTCTCAACCCAAAACTCAGCCTCTTCCTGCCAGATGCCCTTGGCCTCCCGGCCTTGAATTCCTCCCCCATAAAATCATGGCAGGAACCGTTCCTGTCCCCTTGTGGGGTTGTGAGGCCTCAGGAAGGCTGTGCCCAGGAATGATTTCCACAGAGTACCTGGCACGTAGGGAATGCTCCATTCATGGTGCTGCAATTATCAGATATTTACCTGGGTGATTGGGACATGAAGGTTTTTCACTCCCCCCGCCCCACCAAACCCTATAGATTCCCAGGCCGAAATTATGAGCAGGTAACTGAGTTATCACTCCCTCTTAGGAAGTTCTGGATACACTTCCAATGGCTTCCTGGTTCCCATCTCCTGGCATTTGACTGGTCTCTTTGAGATCAGTAGGGGCTAGATCCTCATTTCCATTGAACAGTTAGGAAAACTGAGTCTTAAAGTATAAAGAGCTTGCCTAACAGCACCTGTGACCCTGGTGACAGAGTTGGGACTGGAGCCCAAATTCCTTGAGCGTTGGCCTCTATGCCTTTCCACCGTGATGGTATCACACTCCTCAGTGATGTTTGACAGGAATTCATGGCTATGGTATTTAAGTTCAGAGCTACAAAGTTGCATCTTAGTCTTACATCCGTGTGTGTGTGTGTGTGTGTGTGTGTGTGTGAGAGAGAGAGAGAGAGAGAGAGAGAGAGAGAAAGATCTTTGACAAGTTACTTAACCCTTGCCTCAGATCCTCACTGGTAAATCACAGGAATTAAATCCCGTGCTAAATACTGTGCCCATGTGAGAGGTTGGATACATTGTCAACAAGGCGCTCACCAGCATGTCTGCACAAACCAAGCTCTCAGCCACACTTTGGAATAAAGGGAAAGAGCAGCAAGGGTCTCTGTGACACCTTGACAGACTCTTCTCCTTTTCCAGCAGTTGCATGGTCCCAGGAAGCCTCTATTGAGTAGTAGGCTGCCCTGGTGAGTAAGGGGCCTTTGCCTCCTCTGAGCCAAGTGTGCCCTAGAGTCTGCTTATTTTAAAGTAAATGAAAAACATTTCTTTTCCATCTGAATAGAAAAGCAACACATGCTCTTTGTAGAAAGCTCGCAAAGCATAGGAAAGTGTGAAGAAGGAAATAAATCACCTGTAATGCCACCAAAGATAGCCATTATTGATGTTCTACCAGTACTTTTTCTATGAAGTTTTTTTTTTTTTAACAAAAGTAAGGTCACACTCGCCTTGTTTTCCTTATCCAGCCATTTTCACTTAACATTCGATTGTATGGATTTTTCCACCCTTACAAATGCTTCATAATTACCACTTTTAGTGCTAAAAACATTCCATCTGATGCACAGAACCTTTTACCTAACTCTTGTGTTACTATCAGACATCAAGTTTCTTTATTATTTTTCACCGGAGGAAATAATGATTAAACAAACATATTTGCACCTATATCGGCAATTTTTATCATTTTCTCGGAAACAATTTCTTAGGCATGGAATTACATGCCCCATAAACACTTGCAAAGTAACTGGCCTGTATAATTTTCTTTTTTGTTTGTTTAATTTAAAAACATTTTTTTTTAAATATAATTTATTGTCAAATTCGTTTCCATACAACTCCCAGTGCTCATCCCAACGTGTGCCCTCATCAATGCCCATCGCTGGCTTTCCCCTCTCCCCCATCCCCCATGAACCCTCAGTTTGTTCTCAGTATGTAAGAATCTCTTATGGCTTGCCTATCTCCCTCTCTGTAACTTTTTTCCCCCTTCCTCTCCCCCATAGTCTTCTGTTAAGTTTCTCCTGTTCCACATATGAGTGAAAACGTATGGTATCTGTCCTTCTCTGCCTGACTTACTTCACTTAGCATAACACCCTCAAGTTCCATCCACATTGCTACAAATGGCCAGATTTCATTCTTTCTCAATGCCATGTAGTATTCCATTGTATATAAACCACATCTTCTTGATCCATTCGTCAGTTGATGGACATTGAGTCTCTTTCCATGTTTTGGCTATTGTTGGAAGTGCTGCTATGAACATTGGGGTCCATGAGCCCCTATCCATCAGCACTCCTTTATCACTCCTGTATCACTTGTGTAAATGCCTAACAGTTCTATTGCTGGGTCATAGGGTAGTTCTATTTTTAATTTTTTTGAGGAATTTCCATGCTATTTTCCAGAGGGGCTGCACCAATTTACATTCCCACCAACAGTGCAAGAGGGTGCCCATTTCTCCACATCCTCACCAGCATCTATAGTCTCCTGATTTGTTCACTTTAGCCAATCTGACTGGTGTGAGGTGGTATCTCAGTGTGGTTTTGATTTGTATTTTCCTGATGATGAGGGATGCTGAGCATTGTTTCATGTGTCTGTTGGCCATCTGGATATCTTCTTTGGAAAAGTGTCTATTCATGACTTCTGCCATTTCTTCACTGGATTATTTTTTGGGGAGGGTGTGGAGTTGGTGAGTTCCTTAAAGATTTTGGATACTAGCCTTTTATCTGATATGTCATTTACAACTATCTTTTCCCATTCTGTTGGTTATCTTTTAGTTTTGTTGATTGTTTCCCTTGCCATGCAGAAACTTTTTGTCTTGATTAGATCCCAATACTTCATTTTTGCTCTTGATTCCCTTGCCTTTGGAGATGTTCTGCGGTTGAGGTCAAAGAGATTGTTGCCTGTTTTCTCCTCTA